TTTGTCTTTTACTGGTCAGGGTCTGTGTCTGGGAAATGGGAGGTTCTCCATAGATGTAAATTTGTGATAGAAGGGGGGACAATATGACCTAGAAAGTATATTTCTAAACCTTCCTCATCCTTCTGCTGAGGGAGACATGGCACCTGCATTCTTGGCAACCAGGTCAATTCTTTCATGGCTCCTGATGAACTCTGGCTCAGATCTAGGTTCATTTACCAGCCCCAAACTGCTGATGGTGCTGTGTCCCCTGATTTCCATCTCATAACCATTGCTGGTCTTGATCTCTCCCCCTCCCTGCCAGGACTGAATGTCTGCTTTCGTTCCATGACTTGTATGTGTTTCCTCCAGCTGCTGTAACAAATGAACCCTCACGTATTCCCTGGGAGTCAGAGTGTGAAATAAGCCATAAGGAGCCAAATTAAAGATGTCAGCAGAGCTGTCTGCATCCTACCCACAAAGGCCAGGTGGGATTTTGTTCAATATTGTTCTAGTTTCTAGAGGCTGCCAGCATTTCTGTACTCCTGGCTGTATCACATTCCATTCCACATCACATGACTCACTCTCATTCTCCTTCCTCCCTCTTTTGAGGACTCTACTCTTAGGCTCACCTGGTGAACCCAGGACAGTCTCCACATCTCAAGAGCCTTGATTTTAGCACATCTGAACCCCTTCTTTTCCTGTGTAAGGTCACACATTCAACCATGCTGGTATCAGGATGTGATGGGTGAGGCAGGATCCGGAAAAGGACTTTCTGGAATCTTCTCTCCATGGACTCTAGTCTCACCACAGAGCCCACCAAGATGGAGGAAAGCTTCTGAATGCTCTGGGGAGGGGTTGAAAGGGTTCCTTGTGATGTGCTCCTCAGAAACCATGGGATCCTCTGCTGGATGTTGGCATTGTATGCTTTTGCCCTACTCTGAATTGAATACAGGCCTTTTGGACTGATAGAGAGATGAAAAAAATTTCTGAGGTCAAATATAGTTGCTTTGAGAATTTTTCTCTTGAGCCCCAACTGCTCACAGTTATCTCTGAAGAGCAGTCACAGAGGAGACCAGCAGGGTGTCTATGGCTGGAGCTGGTTAACAGAGTGAGGTAGGACAGGCTGTGAGTAGAGGCAGATAGAACTGGCCTCAATCAGTGTAAAAACAGAAAGCACTCTGACATCTTGCTCTTCGATGGTATTTGGCTGCAAATTATAGATAGTGCTGCTGCAACCCTCAACAGAAGTACGACATTCTCAGTCACAGCACAGGATGTGGCATGGGTCCTCTTGGGAGTAATCTAGTATGGCCAGGGACTTAATGAGACCTGTCGACAGGGCTGGGCTGGCTGAAGCCTGGCACTGTGTTGGCATGGGCACATGGGCAGACAAACGGTGATGCCATTTCACAGAACCGCCTCTCCAGGTGCTGAGGGCAGCCTTTCTGATGCTCACGCTGTGTCACTGTTTATTCTCACAAGGCGCCCAGCTGTTGCGATGATGATATTTATATCAATAAGTACTCGATTCATCTGCTGATTCCAGGGGAGGCTTGCCAGCTGCATATGGCAGGCAACCTCAGGGCACTTCTGAGCCTGATGGTTTTCAATTTTTTTTTACATATAGAGAAGTGATTCTCAAAGACTGTACTAATATCTGAGGCTGAAGGACCAACATTCACCCAGGACCCACACAGCAGAAGGACAGACAGCCAATGAGTGACCTTGACTTCACTGTGGTGTTCACTCAAGTCCCCAAATGAGTTCTGTGTAACACCTCTTCTGTGCTGCACTACGGTTTTGGGGGAAAAAAGCAGGGGTGTTGGATAAAGAGAACACCCTAGGTTTTCATGGCTTGACTTCACTTGTGGGTCATAGAGCAGAGGCCAATGTTTGACATTTTCAAGCAAAGGAATGTGGTAGTGATGCCTTGTGACCTTGGAATTTCATAGGGGTCTTTTAAAAAATGGAAATCTGTTCAATTTCATCATAATCTCAGACTCTAACTGTTCATTGTCCAGGCACAGTCTCTGGATTCACTCTTTTTTATCTCTTTGGTGTTTGGACCACACACAGCCATGCTCAGAGATCAATCCTGCCTCTGCACTCAGAAATTATTCCTATATGCCACAACTATTACTCCTGGCAACTCTTGGGATGCCAGGGATTGAACACAAGGCAAATGTCTAACCCACTGTACTATTGCTCTGGCCCCATGGACTCGACTCATTCTTGATTCCTTTTTCTCTCATTCCATATTAAATCTGTCTGGATATTTTGTGGTGCCTACTTGTAGGCTACATCTGGGGTCTAGATGATCCTTCCCCAGTAAAAGAGGTCCAAGCTGCTTCTTTTTCCTCACTGCTTTTTCCTTTTAGAAATGGCCCCTACTCCCCTCACCCCCTTTCCTGCACTTACTGCAGTCAGGTGCTTTCATAAAAAGTCACATTGCTTTTTTTTTTTGCTTTTTGTGTCACACCCGGCAATGCAAAGGGGTTACTCCTGGCTCTGCACTTAGGAATTACTCCTGGCAGTGCTTAGGGGACCATATGAGATGCTGGGAATTGAACCTGGGTCAGCCGTGTGCAAGGCAAACGCCCTACTCACTGTGCTATTGCTCCAGCCCCCACATTGCTTTTTCAAGTCACTCCTCTGCCCCAAACCTGTCCATGACTGCCCATCTCTCTGGGTGATGGCCCAAGTTCTTCCTACAACCTCCAATGCTCTTCAAGGTCCTGGCCTTGCTGTATCTTGTCTTTCCATAAGGTGTGCCCACCATCAGGGTTGTTCTTCAAAAGTACCAAGTTCATGCCTATCCCCAGATTGTGGTGTGTGCTGTCCCATCTTCCTGCCAAGTCAATGGTCTCTGAGATGGTCTCTGATCTTGTTATCCCACCTTCTCCAAATCTGGGTTCAGACAGGACCTTCTTTCTAGGTCCCCCTGACTTCTCTACTAGGATTTCTTCCCATGCTCTAACCAACTTTCCCACCTTCATTACCTTGCCCTTTCATTTTTCTTTTTCCATATACTCGTTACCTATAACATAATTTAGGACATTGTAGAATGTTGTTTATTATCTCTTTTGCTTTCTGAAGGAAGCTGCATGATAGATGGGAATTGCTTTGTTTTGTTTTCTCAGTCTTGTTCACAGATGCGTTTCCAAGCCCCCTAGAATAGCTTCCGGCAAACAGCAGATACCCCACAATCACAGACTGAATGAACGAATGAAATCTTTCCCAACTGCCTCCTCACATGCACATCCGAAATTACATCTGCGACATCCCCTATAATATTGCCTTCCCAACCATCCTACTTCCTCTTCCACTCCTCCCCTGCCTTTCTGGGCCTGCCAGTAGAGCGCCCAGATGTCCAATTTCTGGGCTTAGAATGGTAGACTCTATTCTCGTTCATCACCTCCACTTTCACCAGTTACTTTCCTTTGAGCCTCATTCTCCCTGGCTCTCTCCCCGGTTCAGATCACCTCCTTACTTTTCTCTAACACTTCACCTTTCTCCCCAGTCCCCCATGGGTTCCAGACCCATTTCCTTCTCACTGATCCCCATGCTGTAGCTTAAACTCTTGATATCTCTCTTTCCTACATGGACAGAACTTTCTGGGAACCCATGGGACTCTGCAAAGGTGTCCAGCATAGCTGGCCCTCCACAGGGGCTTCAAGAAGAGCCAAAGACCAGTGTGTGTGTGGAATCCCAGCCCCCACACTCTGCTTCAATATGCAGAGCCTTATTTTTAATCATACCTGCTTTAGAGATAGGTTTGCATGAAATCTTTGACTCAGAGAAATAATTCTGTGGCTTACCACGTAGGTCTGTCACAGCAGGCCACAGCCAATGCCTAAACTTGGGAGTTCTCAGTAAGTCAGGCCCTAGCGTCCATACCCTTCTCTCCTACATCCTATCCCACACCCCGGGCACATGCCAACACATCTGTTCTGCAGACAGGGCTCTGCATTCATACGGCCTTTGCCTTGGCTCTTCCCTCTGCTTGTACAGAGGGCTTTTCTCAGCCTCTGCCTCCTCCTCACACCCAAATCTTTGCTGCCTTCTTCAAGGCCAAAGTCACCTTCTTTTTTGAAGACTTCCTTCACCCTCTGGGCTGAATTAATTGCTCCCTGTTCCCGGCCAGCACAGCACTTTCTCACTGACCTCTATTACAGTACTGCCACACAGGCTTGGGACAATTTGCTCATCTGTCTCTGTAGCGATGTTGTGAGTTCCTGGAGGGTTGATATTCCAATTCAGACCCATTTTTTTTCCTTTCAGTTACCACTCAAGGCCTGCCCAAGGCTGTCCTCATCCCTAGAGTGTATCCCCTTGTTCAAAATGAGGAAAGGATTACTTGGCAAAAACTAGGACAACCATTTCTGACTGCATTCCGGACTGATGACTTTGGACCCTTGAGTGGTACATGGGGGTGCAGGCTCTGAAGACTGTCCCATTACACTGTGTCCTGAATATGGGGGTATGCTACAGAGACGTGAAGTCTGGGCATTCAGACCTGAGGGGTTACAGTCATCACTGATGAAGACAGGGCTCAGAGGGATACCTAGGAGCCTCGGGTCCTGGGTTCAAGTTCTGGGTGCCAGCAGAACCTGCTGTATCATAGAGGAGACAGGAGAGACTGAGGAGTCCAGGCTCTAGAATATCTGACAGGGCGGAGACAGACATAGCGATAAAGACCCTAACTAGTGCCTAGGGCACAGAACAGTCTGGTCCTAGGGTAATGGTCTGAGAGTGGAGTGTGGGTAGACAAAACTTATTGGCAGGGAATGTGACGGCTGGAATTGGGAGGCTCTAGGAGTGGCAGAGCCTGGATGGAGAACCTGGGTCTCTGCTGGTAACGGAGTGGGCTTGTGTGTTGCTGTCAGTCATTTAGTGACCATCAGAGGGTAGTTGGCCTGGGCAGAGGCAGTTTTATGTCCTCAGGCCTCTCCCTTTATCTCTTGCACAGGGCTATCCTAACACTCTTTAGCACTCAGGGAAGCAGGTGGGCCTCTTCCTACCTGGGCAGTGTCCATCTCATTCAGCATGACCACGGAGGAGCAGTTGTAGTCGAACACCAGCCTCCAGAAGTCGGCCACGGTGTTAGGTAGTGGGTGCTGAGTGACTACGAAGGCAGCAGGCTGCTTGTGGCTCTGACAAAGGAACAACACAGATTTCATCAAATACGCATTCATTGGTAGCATTCTGACAGCAAGACCTGGGCAGCTGCCAGACGCCCCAGGGGCTTCCCAATAGATTACACAGAGCACCTGCCCATCCTATTATCTCTGGGTGCCCTGGTGGCAACGGGGATCTTCTTCTAATGAACTCATTCTCCTCCAAAAGAAGACATTTCATTAGGAAAGTGTCACTCAGATGGGGATTATCCAAATAAATTATTTATGTCTTGGTGCTCAGAAAATAATCGTCATTATGATATGAAATGAAAGATTCTGAATGCTTATTTGCTGCTCTGCTGGCCAATGCACCTCTTGGGATATAGAGAATATCTTGGGCTCCCATGCCCTATGTTAGAGGAGAGATCAACTCATTCCAAAAGCGCCTCCAGATGGAATATCTGTTGCAGGAGGAGGGTTCCTGTGCCAAGCCTGGGATAAAGGCTGAGATGACCTGGCATTGTATCATGTGAACCAATGAAACACTGGAATGCACCTAGATTCTATTTATTTACTGGTTTTGCAGCCACATGGATATGGTCAGGGATCACTTCTAGCAGGGCTCAGGGGACCATATGTAGTGCTAGGAATAGAACTAGGGTGGCTGCGTATTGGCCATGTGTCTTGCCCGTCTGTATTATCTCTCTGGTCTATGCACCTGGGTTTTAGAGTCAGAGTGAACTGAGTTTCAAAGTCACTTTCACTTTTACATTTTAAGTCAATTATCTATTCCTTTACTCATCCACTCATTGATGTATTATCTATCCCACCCACCTGTCTATTGTTCATCAATCCATTCATCCACCCACCCACCCATCCACTTACCATCTATAAAACTACCAATTTTTCCATTTGCCCACCCTACTGTTTGGGCTGGAGCGATAGCACAGCGGTAGGGCGTTCGCCTTACAAGCGGCCAACATGGCCGACCTGAGTTCGATTCCTCCACCCCTCTCGGAGAGCCTGGCAAGCTACCGAGAGTATTTGATATGCCAAACACAGTAACAACAAAGTCTCCAATGGAGACGTTACTGGGCCCGCTCGAGCAAATCGACGATCAATGGGAGGGCCTTTACCCTTTACTGTTTGTTGTCCATTCATCCATTCACTACCTACCCATTCTTCCATTCATAATTTATGTGTTCATTCAAGCATCCATTCACCTATCTATTCACCCGCTTGTGTTTCTGTCCATCCATCCATCCATCCATCCATCCATCCTTCTATTCACCCATCCGTCCATCCATCTATTCACCCATGTATCTATCCCTCTATTCATACATTAACCCATCCATTCAAGCATCATTTGCAGTTTCTTCTTCTTCTTTTTTTTTTTTTGGTACCAGGTACTGGCAAATTTTTCTCTCTCCAAATCTAAGTTTTTTTCATTAAAAAAATTACGGTCATGGTCACGGTCCTCCTGTTATTCATCGATTTGCTCGAGCGGGCCCAGTAACATCTCCATCGTGAGACTTGTTACTGTGTTTGGCATATCAAATACCTCGATAAAAAATTACAACTTCCAAAAAATGGCAGTGGTACAGATGAATGAGACATGGATTGGATTGATCTAATAAGCAAGAACCTAACTACGGGTCTCTACTAAGGAAACATATTCAGAACCCTTGGGACCAACATTGTGTCTGGCACACAATGGGCACCCAGGACTATAAATTACTTCTTCTATTCTTGATTATAGATAGTTTGACACAGAGAAGACAGAGACAACAGTTTCTCTCTCTCTCTCTCTTTTTCTCTCTCTCTCTATCACATCTGAGGCTTTGGTTGTGCCATGTTTATGGCAGTGCCTAGGGAGAAGGGGCTGAAACAGCTGGGGGATGCTCCAAGAAACAGCCCTTGTAATGGCTAGGCTTTCTTGGAAAGTTGTTCACGAGGGAGTCTGAGCATTTTCCAGTAAACTTCAATGAAAGGAAGCGGGACTTCTGCAGTCATGCCAGGAGAAGGTCATGGCAAAAACCATATGGCCAGGGGGCTGGAGAGATAGTAAATAGTTGGTATACCTGGAAATTCAGAGGGTCCCCTATACCCCACCAGGAATTATCCTTGCGCACAAAGCTAGGAGTAAGCCCTGACACCACTGGGTGTGGTCCAAAACCACCACCACCACCAATAACAACAACAAACCCTTGTCAAATAGATGCCATAAAGCACCAGTTTGTTCTGTTTTCTTTTGGTGCTGGCAAAGACCAAAGTAGTGTGGCACCTGTGGATACCACGTGCACCAGGTTCTGTGTGTCAAGACTGCCTCCCAGCTGGAGGGATGTGCAAAAGCAGTCTGGCATGGCACGGCACCGGGATCTTGCAAAAGCCAATTTGAGCACATACACTGGTCTTCATGCCACTTCCAGACAAGGAAAGAGATTGGCCTTTGAGTCAAATATTTGAAAGCTTGTACCTTTGGCCTCGTCCTTTCTGAACTTGTTGATCTTGGAAAAACTCTGACCCCCCCCAGTATGTCGGTCAGAAAACGAGGATAATAATACCCAAAGGCAGAACAAAACAGCCTAAGTCTGGGACCTGGCATGGTGTCCGACATGCAGCAAATGTTAGTTTTCTTTCCTTTTTCCCTGTCTCTGTGATAAACGCTCTATTAGGCCGGCATGCCTGACAAAGCCTTATCTGAAAATATGTTCAAGATCCGTGCTCCTGCCGGGTTTCAGGGATCAGCCAGCAATCCATTTCATGGATAACATCATCCTTTACCAGGGGAAACATTAAAAATTAACCCAGAGGACTTCATATTTTTCTGCTCAGAGCAAAGCTGCTATGGTTACCAGATAATGCACGGACTGAGTTGGAATACAGATAAGGATTCCTTTTTTTTTTTTAATAAGAAAGGCAAAGGCCCCCTCAATGCCCTGTGGACTAAGAGAATACAATCAGCATCTTAGCTGGGCAAAGGCATCTGACTGTAGGCATTGCTAACAGACTAAGTAGAGGCCAGGAGCAAGTGGGATTGTGCTGGGATGGGGAAAGGCAGTTGGGATAGTGGCAAATACAGCTAGAACTTGGAAGTATGGACACACCCCCAGGCACCATCTGTAATAACACACACAGACACAGACACGCACACACAGACACACACACACACTCTCTCTCTCTCTCTCTCTCTCTCACACAAACACACACACACACACACACACTGAGCTGTACATACATTACACATTGATCTGGGAACATGCTTATATCTCCAGCTCTTTGGTCTGATCAGGCAAGACTATTCGGTCCCTGGACCCAAAACCAAAGAGCCCACTGAGGACTTCTCCTACCTCTTTACCTCCAACATTGATGAACTCTCAGCATAAAGCCAGAGAGAGCACACCAGGTTCCTGTCTGTTGGGGTTAAAATGGGAGGATGTTCACATGACTGGACCAATGTGACTTCAGTCATGGGTAGGAGGGGCTCAGAGGGCTTCAGTTCCATCCTGTCTGAGCCCTGAAACTCAGTAGGTAAGATTGCTTACTTTCTGTCATACTGAGCCCATGGGATGGGGGTCAGCCCAGAGGCCTGCTTTCTGCTCTGCCACCTGCTCTTGGGATTCCCTTGAGCCAGGCTCTGAAGCCTCAGTTTCTCTTGCTGAAAAGTACACGGATTAGACTAGATGATCCACAGCTCCATCCAGCCTCAAAGGTCTCTACCTTCCAGAAACAACAGGATGAAGAGCCAAAGTGGTGGGAGGACCCAGGGAGAAAGTCATGAGTCAAATCCCAAGCCGGGTCTGGGTAGAAGGAGCTTCCTGGGAACCTATGCTAAGCCAGCGAGAGCTACATCCCTCCAGCATGGTCATGGTCAAGGACAGGGTCTGTCTCCCTTGATGAGCCCTTGGCTGCCTCCCTTCTGTCTCTTTTTTCTGCTTCCTCACCACTCACTGAGCATCTGATCCAGATGGTCCTGGATTTCACTAAGACACCTCTAGAGCCTCTGGGATGTATCCAGTGATGCTTGGGGGACAAGATGGTACTGGGGAGTGAACCTGGGTCACGAGCATGCCTGGCATGAACCCTAACTGCTGTACTATCTTGGGCCCTCTTCTGTTCTGTTCTCTTAGGCTCCTTTAGAAGCACAGCTTACACTTAGGTTTGGACCCCAACCACAACCTTCCTGGAGATCAGCAGGATGGGAAGCAAGAGAAAACTGGTTTTCAGGGTCCAGTTAGGGCCCTGAGTTCCACCACCACCACTTGGGGAAGAGCCTTTATTCCCTGCAAGATACACTGAGAGCAGGGCTGTGCTTACGTCCATCAGGGCCGCATTGATGTAGTTGCTGGATTCGCCGTCCACTGAGATGAGGAAGGGCAGACAGCGGTCCAGTGGCAAGACGTCCATGCTCCGATTCTTGTCATGGTTCCGGGGGAGAAGCCCAATGCTGCAATCTTCAGGCCTCACGCGGGGAGTCACAATATTGAGGGTCTGAAGGGCACATGGATGAACAGGTAGACACTGGTTCCCCACTCACCATCGCCAAGAGAAAAGATGGTGATGTTCAAATTCAGCCTGACCCCATGTCTATCCTTCAAACCTGGACCTCTGGCTGGAATGCTATTGTCATCTGCTGCTATTCTGGGCTAGCAGCTCTCAGGGCATGGCATCCAGGGCTGCACCTGGGGGGCATCAGGTACCAGGACCCTAACTGGGGTCACCATTCTCATGGCATAAATCTTAGTTCCTGTATTGTCTCCCCAGTGCTCATGTTTTGCATATATAACAAGCTCCCAGAGGAAGTAGATGCTCTCAGACTCTGGACCCCACTTTGAAACACTGGGACCCAAGGCAAACTGTAATTAGGCAGAAATATTGAGGAAATCCGAGTCCCCTCCAGGGATGGAGAAGCATGAAATCCACACCTGTGTGTCTAAATGTGTCTCCACCCAGTCTGGACAAACCTGAAATCAGATCTCAGTTCAAAAACATAATCAGAGTTAAGCAGAGCCTCAGCAATTATGGGGCAGCCGGTGGGAACTTGCTTATGGCTGTGCATTTTAGGTGCTGCCAGGAAGCCTGCAGCTGTCTGGAGTGCAGAAACTGGAAGCACCCATAGAGATCCATTTCCCCCTGGAGAATGCCAGGGATGTGCTCAGTGCTGTGAGACTGGCTGGCTCGCCAGGAATAGGCTCCCACCTGAAATTCATCCTTGATCTGGCTGGAGTTTGTCTGCGGGTCCAGTCTGCTGATGTTGTAGTAGAGAGAACGGAACTCACACACAGGGATGGCGGTGTTGCCACAGAGGCAAGCTTCTAGGATGGCATCATGTACGAACACGTACTGCTCCTGCAGAACACGGGAGAGGGGAGGGGGTTGCATGAGAAGGGGCTAGGAGGCTGGTGGTGGTCCCCAGTTCACCCATGCCTGGAAGGACATGCTTCTTGGCCCTGCCCAATCATGACCTTCTCTTCTAGAGCCATGTTTCCAGCTTTCTAAGTGGTGAGTTCTATCCTTGGTGCAGAATTTAGGAGCTCCCCTGCCAATGTGAATGAGAAAGTTCTGGAAAGGCAACAGCTGCTGCTCTTAATTGTCCTGCTTGGCATAACTATGCTTATACCTAGTTTGTTGGCTTTCATTTTGTTTTGTATTTACTGCTTCCCGATTATTTTCAATTCTTCTGTGTGTGTTTGGGGGGGGAGAGGGACTTCCTGGGCGGCACCCATCAAATCAGGGAGCAAAACCAGGGCCTCACAAACAAAGCGCATGCTGTCATTTGAGCCACGTCTCTGGCACCAGTTTGAAATTATTTTTCAAAGGTAACATTTTATTTTGCATTTTGCCATGTGTACACTCTGCATTAGGGTGACCCCATAAGTCCTCTTCTTATCCTTCATTGTACATTTGACTCCTCCTTCAAGCCCTAACTGCTCTGGGAACCGCTGGTCTATTATCTGTATCCCTGGCCAGCTTTCTCCTTTGTCTGAAGGACACATCCTGGCAGGGCTGGATCCTTGCGAGGTCTGTGCTGCAGGATGCTTTCTCAGATCCAGACATGCACTTGGGCTGTGTGCACAAGATAACGCCTCAGGAAGGCGCCCTCCAATGTGCTAGATGGAGAGCTAGGGGCTCCCTATCTAGGGTGGAAAACTGGGACAGTCTACTTTGTCCACAGTGCCCCTGGAAGGGGCTCCAGAAGTCATTGGGTGAGAGAGTTTGTCCAAAACTTTGTCTCAAAACTGGATTTTCTTTCTTCCTTGGTCTCTTGTCCCCCATTCACCTCTTCAGCATTTGGGGATCACCTCCCAATAAAACCATCCACATTCCCATTCCCGAGTCTGGGACTGTTCCAGAATCAAAGCCCCTCCAACCCCCACCCTCTGTCTTTGACACCTGTTGATCCTTTCTCCTGGAACACCCTTCCCTGTCCCTGAGCCTTCAATCTTCCATCTGCTCTGGGAAGTCTCCTCTAAACCCACTGGGCAGAAGATGAAGAAGCTGTGGCTGCCACTTATATGCCTTTGCATGTTTTTTTTAATCCCCAAGCAGAGCTCTGGAGAACAAGGGGCCAAACACAGCCCACCAGTGAGGGCCCCGTAATATGGTGCTACTCAGGCCCACAGTCCCGAGGGCCACCAGGATTCCATGTGGCAGTGCTGTGGGAGGTGGCGGCATACAGTGGAAGGGATTTAATGCAGAGCTACATGTATTCAAGGTGTGAATGTGTATAGCCCTGGATGATCTCCCCAGACCGCAGGGCCCGACATGTTCATGGAGCAACTGTTCTCTCTGAGACCTGGTCTGTTTCTTTGTACACACACACATGGGAGCTTGGCCACATGCACCTATTTGAAAGTCAGTCTCTCCTACCAAAGAGCAAGACTGTGTGTTTTCCTCTAGCCACATCTTACATCGTTTCCATTTCCCCAAACCCAGGACCTTGCCTCTAGGACCCCTCGCCCAGGGTGTTTGACCACTAGGATCAGGGCCAGTTCAGGGTGTCAAAATGTTGGGGGGCCACTGCTCCAAGGCTTCCTCTGACCCAGAGCCCAGGACTCACCTCTGTCTGTACCAAATTGACCCTCTGGGCTCGGAGCTCACGCACACAATTGAAGATGTCCACCACCCCTTCGTTCTCAGCCATGTCGAGCATAGTGTCAATGGCAATGAAGCAGCCTGTCCTTCCGGCCCCAGCACTGAAAGAGACAGTGAGGACTGTGTGAGGGGTTGTGGGGGACCTGCAGGAAAGCCCATGGATGACCCTTCCCAAATTCATATGGGGACCTAGTGTGCAGGAAGAGAGACATCCTGCAAGGGGGCATGAGATGGTCATGTCCCCTTTCACCCCCTCACCCCTTCTCTGGCTTCTCCTGGGATAAAAAATTTGGGGGAGACTGCTCTATTTTCCTTGAATAGTCTTGCTGTAAAGCAGAGGATACAAGCAAAGTGAGTCTCAGGTGTGTGTGTGTGTGTGTGTGTGTGTGTGTGTGTGTGTGTGTGTGATGTGCATAGCCCTCAACCCTCCAGAACCTCCTCTGTGGAATGGGTGTGCTGTGACTTTGTGACCTTGCTGTTGGGGGAAGGTCAGTGCTGTGTGACAAAGAGACTAGCTCGGATACATCTACCATTGGCAGCTGGAGTCCAGGTCCAGGCTGATGGGGCAGTGCCCAAACAGGAGCAGACAGAGTATTCACTTCAGAACAGTCCAGATATTGCAAGGCAAGCTGGGTGGGAAGTCTCAGATCACCCATAAGAGAGACCTCAGGAAGGGGAGGGGACACAGGCTGGCGTCCCCCTAATAGCCCTGGCACTTCATGTCCTTTAGGATGGGGCAGGAAACAGCTCTCACCCTGAGTGTAGCTTTCTAGATAGTAAAGTCTACGGTCAGGTGAAGACTGGAGCTTCCCCTTCACTCTCTATCCAGTGACTGATTTTATAAACAGACATGAAGGGGAGTGGCTTCCACTGGGGCAGCCCACCGCCCAGGACCAGAATCTGGAGAGAAGCTGGTCAAACATTGGCTCTGCCATTTTACACCAGGAGCTGGGAAACCTGCCATCACCTCCATTTTGCCATCTGTAACATGGGGTTCCACTTCACAAGGCTGCACGAGAAGTGGCTGCAAGAAGCAAGAGTGTAGGGGGTTGGGGAGATAGTGCAAAGGGCTGAAACACAAGTGTGGCACGCACAGGGCCCTAGCACTACATGGCATCCTGATCACCATCAGGGGAAGCCTGATTGCTAGGGAGGCTCAGAAAAACTGCAAAAGAATCCATGAGGTCAGGCCACACCCACACCCCCCAGAGCAGCAGCAACAACAACAGTGGCAACGGTTACTATTATGTGGTGGTTCAACCTGGGACTCAGATCTCTTCACTTGGGGCTGGGCGCAAGGGATGCCTCAGGGGCCTGTGGAAGGCCAAGAAACCAAGAAAGGAAGGGAAGAGAGACCTCTGGGTGGACTCACCTTTGGGAACCCTGTGTACTCACCTGCAGTGGACTACGATGGGCCCGGCCTCCGGGGGGTTCAGGAACTTGACCTGGCGCACAAAACCCAGGAGGCCTGTGGCATAGCAGGGGACGCCGTGGTCAGGCCAGCTGGTGAAGTGGAAGAGGCGAAGCTCCCGGATCTCGTGGTAGCCTTTCTGAGGAGAGAAAGAACAAGCCTTGGTTCCTCCACCTGCCGCCCCATGCCCATCCCCCTCCCCCTGCACTGTGGCCCAGCCTCTAAGTGGCTGGGGTCCACTGGAGCCACTGTCTGGAATGAGAGAGTCTTGGGTCAGCTGCTTCTGAGAGTGAGGCACAAGGTGGAGGGTGTGTTCAGAGCCTCGAGTTCTGCATTGCTCAGGCACTCCCTCCCTGCACACCCATGCAGGTCGGGAGGGTACTCATGGCATGGGCTGGGCACCCTCCGTGGGCATGGGGAGGCCCACAGCAGAGGGCTAGGATTGAGGTGCTTCCTAGGGAAAAGGTGGCTTTTCAGAAATTGCAGGCTGGAGGCCCACAGGGTGGCCTTCAAACAAACAAGAGCAATAAGGAGCAGCAGGGGCCAGGGAAGCAGCTCAGAGGCAGAGCACAGGCCTCAGAAGTGTCAACCCCCAGGGCCACAGTGATGGCTCAGGCTTTGCATGTGGGAGCTTCCGGTTCAATCTCTGACAGCACAGTTCCTCCAGCACTGCATGGTCCACAATTGGGAGTGACCCCAGGGAGTAGCCTCTGAGCCCTCCCAGACATGACCCCCAAACCAATCAAATAAACAAACAAAAAATGAGGCCCTGGCTCCATCTGGGCACATCACACAAAACAAAACAAAACAAAACACCCTTAATCACACTTTCTTCTTGATTAGATTCTTATTTACAATGTGGGGTCAGAGCAATAGTACAGTGGGTAGGGCATTTGCCTTGCATGCAGCTGACCTGGGTTCGATCCCCGGCATCCTATATGGTCCCCCAAGCACCGCCAGGAGTGATTCCTGAGTGCAGAACCAGGAGTAACCCCTGAGCATCAGTGGGTATGAGTAAAAAAAAAAACCCAAACCACTCTTATTTACAATGTGATAGGAAGTAAAATCAGGGTTCCTCAGTTGATGGGGGTGTGGAGTATGGAGCTCAGATGAGTCCTGCTTCTACTCCCTCCTCCCTTCCTTCACACAGACACACTCTAGACCCCAAGTTACTCTGTCCAGTGAGTTCAGGCCATACTTCTGAGCGGAGCTTATGCAATATCCACTCCTTTTTCTCTTCTTTTTTTCTACTTAGAAATTCCGGCAGAGAGTACTGAATAGGATGCTGGATTGTTCCTTATTGGTATCCACCCTTATGTCAATGCACCAAGAAGGTGGAAATAAAGATACAGTGCTTTGTTTCTGGAACTGATCCTAGGAGCTGGCGGTGTGAGGCAGACTCCTTAATAGAGAATTCTATTCAAAAGAATAAGGGAGGGTTTGCCTCCCTTCTGGGGAAGGGAGAAATCAGAGACTTCTTGGAGGAGGCAGCATCTGACCTGAATCTTGAAACACTAAGAGTGGAAAGAATAGGTACTAGGTATTATGAATCAGCTATGTGCTTGTCACTCTTGAATATACCATTTGCAGTCAATCATTTAACCCTCTTATCAATCCTCATACTTCCTATAGCACTGTCCTCTGGTTGTTCATCGATTTGCTCGAGCGGGCTCAGTAACACCTCCATTGTGAGATTTGTTACTGTGTTTGGCATATCAAATATATCACGGGGAGCTTGCCAGGCTTTGCCGTGTGGGCAAGATACTCTTGGTAGCTTGCTGGGCTCTCTGAGAGGAGCGGAGGAATTGAACCTGGGTCAGGCCAGGTTCAAGATAGAACCTGGGTCAACTGCACACAAGGCAAATTCCCTACCACTGTGCTATTGCTCCAGCCTACTTCTTATAATATCATAAAGCTGAAATTTGAACCCTAGCTCCATAGTCTGAGCACTAATCCTCGTGACATTCTGACACCTTAGTACTAGTTGAGACAGTGGAGGAATTCTCAACAAAAAGACTGCTTAGGCAGAGGCGTGGGGCAGGTTTAGGCAGGGAACAGAATCACAGATGCCCCGGGACAACACCAAGAGAAAGCAGAAAGTGCCATGGGAGTTGCTGGTTGTGTTGCTCGATCCTGGAAGACCTGGTCTTAACCCCAAAGCACTGGGAGCTCATGGTAGTTACAGATGCTTACATAGTAGGGAACCTGCACCATCACGTGAAGAACAGCAGCTGCTCTGTAGAGGATGGTATAGATGGGGGGCTGGGAGGTATAGAAGGCATGATGGGTGCCTATCCAAACCCCCTTTCCTGAGACGTGACATCATCTCCAGTTGATAAGTCTTGGCTGAATATTTAGCCCCTTTCAGAGAAGCACTCTCAGCTCACTTCCTCTGGGGCTGCAGGCTGGGTGGGCATCTTAGTCTGAGGATCCTTAAACCAACCAAGTGACTGTCAGTTTTCCCAGGGCTGAGTCTCTCTCAGGGCATTAGACCTTCAGTGTTTAGGCCAGAATGTCTGTGGACAAACTAGGATGAGCAGTTACCTAAGTACCAAAATCCCTTTTCTTGGGGGGTGGAATGATAAAATTGTGGGTAGGTCATTTGCTTTGTATGCAGTCAACCAAGGTTCTATCTCCAACATTGCATATGGTCCCCTGAGTCCCACCAGAAATGATCCCTGAGTGGAGAGTCAAGAATAGTCGCTGAGCACAACCAGGTGTGATGCCCCCAAAACAAGGAAAATAAAGATAAACCACTTTTCTTAAGTTGAGAATACCTCTGCCACTCCTGGGCTCCAGGCATCAGTGGGGTGAGAATGCATCCTTGCTCAGTTTCTGCCGTGGCCTTGGCCTGTCTCCCTCACTGCCCTGTCCCTCAGACTTATTTTTCTTTATAGATAATAAGGGCACCAATTCTTGCCTGAAGCTCTGCTTGTAGGAAACTACAACTAAGACCAGGTAGATAGTCCTGTGAGGAGTCCTATGGCTAAAATCCTGGCCAGAGTGAACCCCTGGATTAAGGTAGCTGAAGCAGAAGAGAAAAAGAGCTTCAAGAATGCAGCAGGGTAACCTCTCACAAGTGTGTCATTAGTTGTTCTCATGGCGTGAATGTCATAGGGCCAGAGCTCTGTTTCCCCATATCAGTCAATCCATAGACCTGGTCCAGACACTGAGGGGCAACCTCCAGGGTGAGAGAGTCCTGCTGGTGAAGCACACTTCACAAACCTATTTGGGTTGGCCATCAGCACATTGTATGGCCCAGCCTGCTGACTCCAATGTCATGTGCATAGTCCTCACTGATAATGGAACTGGATGTACTGGGAATTTTTCACTTCATCCTCCAAATCAACTCAGCCCCAAGGACACATTCCCACGTGTGGTTTGTACCACCTGCTACAATTATTCTATGGATTTGCCTATTGAGTTCTGCATATCACTTGTGCTAGTGGAGATTTGTTGGAGTGCATCGATGCATATATGGCTGGATGGCTGGAGTCTTTTGGTGCCAAGGATGGTCTCGGTGCAGGAGAGACCCTCCCTCACCATGTGTCCTGAATGAAAAAACACACCAGCTAGCATGGTGAACCAGAAGGGAAGCTTTACCTTCTGGACTGTGAAGGTACGTATGACATATTCCGCCAGGGGCTCGGTTTCAATCAGTGTGACCTTAATGTCCCCATAGACCTCCGTGTCATCCGGCCAGTACCGCACGCATTTCACCTGTGAGAAAAGACAGACATAAGGATGTGTGACCAGGTGTCTGGGTGTAAACTGCTGCCTCAACTGATCTTCCCATTCAAAATATCCCCAGGGCTACTGGGTGGAATTTCAGTCCAAGGGGTTTCCCAGCTGGCTGGGGAATCAATCCTATGCCCAACGTCACTCACAAAGGGTTTGGAGCTCTTAGGAAGGCTCTAGGGCCTTCTTTTGTAGAGCTCCTTAGCACTGTCCAATCCATTTCCCCATAAAGTGATCACACAGATCTAGGTGAGATAGGGGTGCTCACCCCCAATATAACAGGGGAAAATAATACTGAGGTTGGAGGTTTAGTGACTTGTCCAAGGTCCCATGGCCAGTTTCTCTCTGTGGCTGAGTCCACAGCTTTATCGGGCTGAGTGGGACCAGCCTTGTTGAGATGAGTATAAAAGGCAGGAAGCAGCGAGGAGGTGGACGAAGTGGGCAGGAGAGGGACGCTACTAAGAAGTGGTCATGGGGGCAGGAAGGAGAACAGTTCTTTGTCAGGAGAAGGAAGGTGCCGAGGGAAGACTGTGCCACTGCTCACTGCTTGGGCGGAGAGTGCAGGCGCCACGCACAAGCCATGCCCCCACTGGACTCTAAGTCACACTCCGCAGGAGGAAAGAGAGATCATCGGTTTCCCCTTAAAAGAACAAAAGCATTACCATTCCGGGGGACGCCGCACGGCCTAGCGTGGCATTGCCCACAGTGTGTTCCGCTGGGTGCTAATAGGTGTTAGGTGAAAAAAACAAAACAAAATAAAAAAAAACAAAAACAAGAAACAAAAAAAAAAACAAACAAAAAAGGTTTTGTGGTCAAATGAGTTTGGGAAATGCCGGATTAAACACAACTACACAGGCTGCTTTGCTATGTACCACTCAGCTCATGAATGTGCTAATGCTAATGTGGATTTTGTGACTTTCCAAAAGGGGCAAAGAGTTCACAGCATTTCCCAAACGTATTTAACCATGGAACCCTCTTCTTGCTAAACATCCTGCAGACTAGCATTCCACGGAACCCACTTAGGGAAACACTGGTCTAATGCAACAGACTGTGGGGGGGGGGGGGGGGGCAAATGGATGCATTGCTTCGTTCTAGCACTCAGGAGCTGGGCAGCTCCCAGAAGTGCTGAAATCTCATGTAGTCTCCGATTTTATACAAAATGGGAGCTAACTCTGCCACATGCCTGTGGGAATTATTATTATTATTATTAAATTATGAATCCCATTTTACAGATGAGGAAACTGAAGCTTGGGGAGGCTAAGAAAACTGTCCATAATCAACTGTTATCAAGGGAAGGAACAGGACCTAATGTCAGGTATGCAGACAATTACCAGGAATACTGCAAAATGCAGTAGTTGTGAACTGTGAAGTGAAGCAACCTAAATCTCTGGCACAGGACCTGGCACCTATAGGAGGTCCATCCAGAGCAGTCCAACTTTGATTCACCATCTACCTATCAAAGGGATCTGTACCTAGTGTCACAAGGCAGTTGGTGACAATTTGGGATTGGCATCTAAATTTTTATTCGTTATTTATTTATTATTTATTTATTTGGGTCATGTCCTGTGATGCTCAGGGGCTTCTCCTGGCTCTGTATTCAGGGATCACTTCTGGAGGTGCTGGCATGGATGGAAGTAGGGTTGGACCGCATGCAAGGTTAAGTTCTTGTGACCCTATCTCTTTGGCCCCACCTCAGAATTCTTAAATTGCAGGGCTGGACTTTTTATCCATAGTGGCTGTATCCTAAGAGTCATTGGGGTGGGGCATTCCTTAGAGGAGGAAGCATAAACCCCAAAATGAATGTTAAGAGTTGGATGTTGTGTCTGTAGGAATTGGATAATGTTGAAGGAGTTGCTCCATCCTGGGAGTTTGTTTCCTCATCTGTAAAACTGGGAAATGGACTGTGGATGTGTGGACTCAATAAAATTTCTCCTGGCCCTAAATTCTTAGCAGGTCAGAAATGACCAGACCCTTCACTGGGTTATCACCAACATCTCGACTTCTCCCCATCCCATGTATTACAGGCCAGGACTATTTTAAGGGATTATTGTTCTTCTAAAACAAAAAACTTACCTGCCCACTCTTTAGTTAGCAGATAGGATATGTAAAAGGCCTTCTGAATTCTGCTGTTTCTGACTTTCAGACCAGCTGCCCACCCACCCACATGCCACAGGATCCTCAGGAGGCAAAAGCAAGCTGCGAAGAGCCATCCCACTACTAACCCCTGTAGAGGGGGAAGTGGAAACAGAGCAGAAGGGAGATCATAGCCCAAGCCCTAAAGAATGCCAAGGAGTAGAGGAGGAAGAGCAGTGGCGAGGGGCGGATGTGGCCGAGATGGGGAGCATAATGAGAAGAAAGAAGTGGCTTTTAGATGTATCAGCATGAAGGATGCAGTATACTGACCCATTCCCTGCAGCTGGAATGAGGAAGTGACCTTGATGGAGCAGGGAGAAGAGAACAGGAGGGAAGAGACAGCCTGCGCGTGTGTCTTTCAAGTGGGGCAACAAAGTAGGGACAAGAGAATCATTTTTGTTTGCTAGTTTTATCTTTATAGGGCCAAGGGCTCACAGTATGTTCAGATGCTGAGGGGAATAAGCCGGCAGGGAGAAGGAGGCTTAGTTTTCAAGTGGGGGAGGGAAAACGAGATCAGGCTCATGGAGATCTTGCTTTGCAAGGCACTGGGATTGCCCTGGGAAGGGCAGAAGTCACTTTTCTCTTATCTGAGGCTGAGTCCTAAGAAACAGAGGAGAATCTGGCCTGGCATCCCAAACAGCTCTTTGGTATGGCCCAGCCCGATCATGGAGAGAACAAGAAGAAGGTGGGAGAGCCCAGCAGGATGGTAGCTTTCCTGTGCTGTGAAGAGGACCATTCACTGAGTATGGCTTTTATTTCCTTCAACGACATGAGATGACTTCGTCAATGAGAATGAGGGTGGAGAAAGGGATGAGAGAATTGGAAGGAAAAGAACCTTCCTGCAATGTGACATAGGAGTGAGGATTTCTCCCTTGCAGGTTGCTGGGAAAGTGAGAGATGGGACAGGAGGCACTGGGCACCATGCACGGGGCAGGTGTGCCATGCCTACACCCTCTCTCCAGGGTTCAGCAGGAGGGGCTTACCCGGCCCACTTCCACGAGGTTGGTGACCATGACGATGCTGGCTGAGTTCTCCTGCCAGATCATTCTCCAAAAGTCCTTTACGGTCTCCTGCATTGGACCTGCCAAACAGAGACAGCATCAGGTTCAAAGATGTTAGGAGCAGGAAGTAGCACCTTGTACTTGTGAGGTGTCCATATAGGTGAGACAGTGGGAGACTAAGCAATCCCCACTCAGATATGGCTGAAGCAAGGCTTAAAGCCTGGGAAGTTAGCATGCAGGTGATCAATGGCAGGTTTAAATTTCCATGACAGTGTAAATTTCCTACCCCTCTTGGAAATCATGGTGACTTTCCCCATTTTCTCTGCTATCTTCCTCCTCTGGCTCTACTCTTCTAACCCACCTTCCTACCTGGTCCACACTATGAATTAAAAATAGAGATTAAGGGAGTTTTCAGAAACTGGACTCCAGAGCCTCAATGAAAGGAAGAAAATGGATAGGGAGGGTGGAAGTCCAAGGTCAGAGATGCTACTAGGAGCCTACAGCTAAGACCATATATAGGAGATATCTAATTTTGAGTTTGGCAGAAACTGTGGCATTCAACTGGAGCCCCCCAAAAAGGAGCGGAAAAATAAAAGATAAGACATGAGTGATACGATCTGAGAGGCCAAAGCAATTTCACTGGAAATTTCTATCAAAACTTTTACATTGATATCTTTCTTATTTTAAAAATTATAAAATATAAGCATACATATATTTTGTATTTGATACAAAAATCTGAATTCCTTTTTTCTGTACATATATATTATATACACACATACATTTATGTACATAGGTGTACATGCATGCACTTACTATAGAGATCATCATACCTATTACAAGCATTTCCTACACCCTTAAAATTTCTTACCAAGCATGTTATTTTCCCCCTAGCTGCATGATTTCCTATCATATGAATCCATCACACTTTATTTAATTAACCTACGAATTGTTAGGACATTTAAGACCCATAGGTTACACTGAATAGTGTCTATAAATATGCCACTCTCTATACTGCCACAGGGCTTTCTTGCTGAGGGTTTGAAAGTTTGGGACATTTTCAAGGCTCTGTAACTTATGAACACTCTATTTTTCTGGAAAGTGCCTGCTTCTCTCTTCCAGGTACCTTCCCACTGGGGTGATAAGGCGCCACCCAGCTCCATCTATAGATGAGTTATAGATGGATGGTGCATTCCTGGGGTTGATGAGTTTTGTGTTGCCCTGCAGGCAGGTGTCCAACTCTCCTGACTACTTTCCAGGAGGGACATCTTTTTCTCTGCTCTCCCAGATTCCACTCCCCACCTCCTTTCCCCACATCTGGGGGTGACTTCACCTTCTCTCCCAAAATAATAACTCAGTCATCCCCAGGACCCTTGGAGACTCTCCTGCCCATGTCCTGTGTGACTTCTACACTGGTAGAAGCTCATTTCCCTCCTCCAGTGATAAGCATGCCTCATCATAAAGGAAAAGGAGTCACTTACCTTGAGTTGCAATGTAGTGCCGAGGACGATGGTACCCCTGGAGAACAGGGAAAAGGCACAGTGAAGGATCTGTAGGCAAAGCTTGCAAACAGCCTAATATTACTAATGCTTCTTTCTAAGACTAGGTTTCCTCATAGGCAAGTGGGAAGACTATTAGACAACTTACAGAAAGGGGCAAGGATTCAATGAGACAATGCATGTAAAGTGCTAACTCTTACTGATTATTAGTTACCAGGAAGCTTTCCAAATAGATTAAACCGGCAGCAAATACTGGGGAGGGGGGGCTCACTTATACCCATGAATTCAGTCTTTCATGGGTTATCAATCACTGAAAAAGTCTTCCCTGAGACACAACTGAGTGTAGAGAACTGGGCTGGGCTCTGGAGGGCACCTCAGAGAGAGTGTTTTATCCGGGCATTAATGTTGAATAGAAAAAGTCAGTTGGGAGAGCTGTTCCACTGCCTTTCTGCATAGACAATAAAATCGGGGTGGGCAAATAGGATCCTGAGTCAGTCTGACCTGGAGACTGTCAAAGCAACTTCCTGTTTCAAAGGCCAGATTATGATTTCCTTGTTCTATTTTTCATGTATTCCTACAGACTCTGCTGTGGCTTGGTGCCCCACAATCATGATCACTGGGCAAGAGGAAGATACCCTTTTCTTTTTCATGGCATGATCTGGAGGACCCCTTTTCCTGCAGCAGTGAGGAAGCCTGTCAGATCAAGGAGAAGTTTATGGTTGGGGGACAGATCTCTATTTACTTCCAAACACTCAACATAATGTGCCCGTATTAAATGAGTAAGTGAGTCAATGAATGGATAAATGGACAAATAAAGCAATACTGATTCCAGTTGTAGGGGATGTGGGTTTTAGAGTTCTTTGACAGTCCTGATATCCACTTTTCTCTGCTGTTAACTATCCCAGGAGAAAACAAACCTGCAGCTGGAAGAATACCTATTTGGTTGGTGAAATATTTTCTTTCCAGTTCACGGAAACAGGCTGTTTCAGGCACTCTCCTTCAGGAATTAATCTGGAGTTGCAGTCTGTGTGGTTTATGGTAAACTAGTTATGGTGTCACTCAAGTTGCAGATTCATTTTCTGATTTGAAGACTAATTCCTGAGTCCTCTGTGCATTTCTCTGTCTCAGTCTTCCCCTTGCTCTAAAAATATTTAGTATGTATCTTATCATTGTTGGACATAGCCTAGAGATATCTAGGATGAGAGCATTTACCCAAGATAATGTCATGCCATGACCAGAATGGTCACCTGTACCAGCTGGGAATCAACAGCTTCTCCTAAGGTCTCTAAGGTCTGTGAGTGCTCTTATCTTCTTAGCGAATCAGTTTCTCAAGGACAAACTCTAGTTCCTAAGTTTAAAGAAACATTCCCATAGAAGCTGGCACAGTTCAAATGCATGATAGATTAGGTATTGTAAAACCAACCATAGGGCAGCAGAGCATGGCAGCTATATGTGCAGCCTCTGGATCTAACTACCTTGGTGGGAATCCTGGCTTTGTCCTTCAGATACTGTGTAGTTTGGTTCTTAAACTTGCTATAACCCTTTTTTTCTTTGTAAAATAGGAAGGATGATATTTACATCAGAGCATTATTGGCAGGGCCATAGGCAATGGCATGAATTAACACAGGACAGCTACATGCCAGGCATAATGGTGAGATTTATTATAGATGTCTTTGTTATCAATAGAATTTTATTGTTTTATCGATCAGCTATCATGACTTAAGTCTAAGCTGTCCGCTAGAGAGTTTCAAAGGCCACAATTCCTTCAATTTTCTCTGCTGTTTTGTATTATGCTGTAGCTGAAGACCTTTCTTAGACACGAGAAGGGGAAGGAAGGGGAGAGTCAGGAAGAGTTATCAGTTTCCCCAGACCTGATGAATAATTATCCAGCTTGTAGGAAAAATTGGATTCTGGGAATTTTCCTCAGTAGGTCTGGAAACAGAAGAAAGTTTCTTAGAGTAGAGAAAAACTCTCTATCATCCCTGTGCTACTCATTATAGTGATCATCCTCCCTTATCCGTTATAGCACCAACCACTGTCTGACTCCCTGCCTCACACGTATCCCACAGCCTGTCTGCATCTGGCCATACTGATAGACCTTGACATATGAAGTTACTTTTCCAATTAAAGTCTGTGAAAGTGCCTCATTGCCTACATGATGATGTTCAAATATTTTAGCTCTGGACTCATCATCTGTCTTCATCCTTGTCCTCTCAACCCTCCCTAGCCCCTAGTGCCTATGTCCCAACATTTCACCAGGCTTTAAAGAAGAGATCCTTCTGGAGGTTATAGGGGTTCACATACCTAATGAACACATAGTATGGTTTGCAATCACCTTTTTGTGTGTATTTTTCCTATGGGGACATGCGCCATGCCATCCACAATTGGGTGCCACTTTCACCAAAGACTGGTTGGTGGTAATTATAAAAGAATATATCTTTGAGCTCTATACATCTATCAAGTCATAGGTATGCTGTGTTCATTGTGTAGGCCTTCAGATAACTGGGGAATAGGATGCAATCATAAAATTATGTGACCCTGCTGCTGGGAAGGAAGCTAGAGATCATTTTAAGATTATATCTTGTTCAACATAACCCCCAAACTGAAAACTATATGAGAGGTCACTAAAGTTAAAAGTATATTTGAATGTTTGGGCTTTTGGGGGGTGAGGTGTTGGGGTCACACCTGGTGATGCTCAAGGCTGATTCCTGGCTCTGTGCTCAGATATCACTCAAGCTGGTACTTAGGGAACCATATGCAGCTCTAGGGATCAAACAGATATCAGCTGTGTACAAGGAAAGTAGTAACTATCTGTACTGTACTCTCTTTGGATCCTCAAATATTTTTAATGCTAATAATAAAACAGAACTCATCAAACATTTCTCTTATCTAAAAAGTATATTTAGGTTGTCTTCCTAAACAACAGTATCACAAATTGGTTTTTAACTAAATAGACATTTTTCTAGAAAACAGGGTTTTGTGAAAATGTATGCGTTTGGAAGAACTTTTTAATGGAAGTTAAAACCTTCTTAATTCTAATTTATACATAATATGCTTGAGCGGGCCCAGTAACGTCTCCATTGGAGACTTTGTTGTTACTATGTCTGGCACATCGAATACGTCACGGGGAGCTTGCCAGGCTCTGCCGTGCAGGCGAGATACTCTCGGTAGCTTGCCGGGCTCTCTGAAAGGGGCGGAGGAATCGAACTCAGGTCAGGCATGTTGGCCGCTTGTAAGACAGATGGCCTACTGCTGTGCTATAATATTAAATGGTCAAATAACTAAGAACAAAAAAATCGAAGAACTTATGTGTTAAGACATGCACTTAGGATTGGAGAGATACTTCAAACACCTGAGTGTTTGCTTTGCAGCTGGGAGTCTTGGGTTCCCAATACTGCATAGTCCCCTGAGCATAGAGCCAGATCTACACGTGGCCATTGCCAGATGTGGCTCCATTCCCAACCCCCAATTTTAAAACACATCAGTTAAATAAGTGGAATTGCATAGTGGGAACACCAATCCTGAGAGTTACAGAAATGATACATTTACTACTTATAAAAATCAATTTTCCTTATATTCTCCATAGAAAAGAATCTTTGCAATAATGTAGGGGCCATTCCATAATACGTGGGCTGTAAGATGAAAAGTTTGAGGAAACTGATTTGGAAGATTCCAGTATGTATGAAAATCAATTGGATGAAATTCAGAACAAGGCATTTCAATTGTGGATTCAGATACTTGAGTCTACTGTTTGCCCATTCACTGGTTCAACTGGTCATTCCATTTTCAATCAGTAGATATTACTTGGGCAGCTACTACTAAGTACAAAGAATTGAAGACAAAAGAGTAGACCAGAGGGATGACAGGTCTGCTTTTGGGTGAACAAATTGGTCTAAGGGTCACCAAAGGGGAGGATGTAAAATTCCCATTAGAAATTGACTCTGCCAAGGCAGTCAGGGAATGAATTGCACTTTGAGGTGGTGGGAATTGGAGTGAATTGCCTAGTCCGGACATCTCAACATCTATACCATTTCTTTCTCAGCTGAATGAGAACACAATGTGGCAGGACTCTCTGGGGTTTGCTCAAGGCTGTGCCCACAGTTCCAAGGAGTAAGCCTGGGCTCTCAACCTTAATACATCCTTATCAAATTAACATATGTATGGCTGCTTTAGCCTGGCTGTCCACACACTGCTTCTAAACAGAGACCATCTCTGGCCTCCTAGAATCCACAATCCCTACAGAGAAAGCATTCTAACCATGTGCTTCCTTAACCAGTGAAAGAAAATATACAGTTCAATTGGGGCTCCTCTGGCAATTTGACAAGAGATGCACAGGAAACTTCCTAACCTTAAAAGAACTTCAATTTCATGTAAGTCCCACCTACACAGCATGCAGAGTGACTGAACACCAGCACCAGGCCTGCCTCCATCTGTCTGTGAGCAATGGGAAAGAAGTTTGCATCCAAAAAGCATTTATCTCACTCTGCACTCATGCATCTGTTACTTACTGGGGACCCAGATACGACATTTATTTCCAGACTAGTAATTTATAACAGAGTCAAGTGGCCAATCCATTCTTGGGTGTGCAAACAAACCCGCCAGTGGGATGGATCAGACAGCAGTAGAGCCATGGCCTCTTGGGGACCAGATAGGACTGGCCGAGTGTCCCACTCATTATCCAAATGGAGTTGTTTTAATGGATCGTCAAGATCCAACTGTGGATAAATGATTGTAGTTCATGCATTTAAGCTCTCTGGAGAGTGGGGGAGATTCCAATTAGGGTAGAAATCAGGCAAAGGGGTAAGACCCTGGATAGCTGTATAGGGTCTAACTTGTCAGCGATTCCCAACAGATACACCCAGGAACATGAACTTTACTGAGGCATATAGATAGAAGGTTGACAGTTGATAGGGTACTCCATCCTCAGCTCCCATTCTGATAACACTGAACAGGTAGGTATGTGCTGGTGCTTGATATCTTCCCTGTCCCAGAGGTTAACCTTGATTCTCTATCAAAGGCTCCAGGTCTTTTTCATCATCATCCCTTTATTTACAGTTACTTCCTCCTCCCTTAGGTCTGAAGAAGAGAGTTCTCAGCTATCATTAGCCTGGTTATACTACACCCCACTCTGTTGGTTTCTCTTAATTTTGTTCAGACCCTTTTAAACGTTTCCTCTGTTATTCCCATTGAATAAGCCTCCATTTGCTTATGAGATTCTGACAGACTTATGTATTAATTATATTCCTATGGGATACCATTATTATCCCATATTACAGATAACAGAATGAGTATGTTTAAGCACAATCAAAGTAAGCAGAAGGGCCCAAATTCCACAGATACTACAGGACTGAATTTGTGACTTTGAGCTCCTAAGTCTTTGGTTTTCACCATGGAGATTCAGCATAAAGTCCAGCATGAGGTAGCAGAGGCTGGACAGTTTTTCTATAATTGATTTCTTAAAGACACAGGAAGAAGGTAGTGGTGTGTCTTAGGTAAGTAGAGAACTGGGTTTTAACTATGTGACTTTGAGCAAATTTCTTAACTTTGACCCTCTGTTTCTTATCCATAAGGTTCTACAGAACTGACTGTCATGATAGAACAGTATAGAAATGGGAGGTATTATTAGTATTGGCATTGCAAATATTCACTTGCACTTATGGCAATTTTATGTCATGCCTAAAACATACCAAGGTGTGTGTTGATGCTCAATAATGCTCACTCTACTCTGGGTTGAGCATTTGTCAAGCCAGTAACTTTTGCTGGAGATTATCACTCAGATAACAAATGCCAGATACTAAGACTCAGGTTGGCAGATCCCATGTGGGCGTGGCCTTCAGAGCTGCTACCTCCACTCAGGAGAGGTGGGAGAAGTCAATCTGCTTCTGCATGTGCAGACTGAGGCCCCATGGTGCAAGTTGGGTGTAGAAGTCCAAAAGAAAAAACTCTGGGCCAGGAACCATGTGGGACTATTTTCTGAACTTTCTGTCAGAGCCCAGATGTAAGGCCTCAGACTCTGCCATCTCTCTAGACCTTAGCTTCCCGAACAGGAAATGGGGGTGATGGTCCATCTTGGGTATATGAGAAGTCTCCATAAATAGACACTTAAAAAATACCATTGGGTCCAAGAGTGATTTGTGGTGGGGACACTGACTCTTCTTGCTTTGCTATTTTATAAAAGCCAACAGAGCATAGTGGGGGTGACCCCTTGATTCAGATACTTGCTCTTTCTGCCCTCAGATCTTAATACCATAATCCTGAGAAGTTACCCAACTCTGAAAGCCTCCACTTAGTCCTTTGGAAATGGGAAGCAATGGCACTTACCTTGTGAGGCTATACTTCTAGATAGGACAGTGCTGGTACACCAGAGGGGATCAATAACTCTTAGGTTACTATCAGCCCTTCTTGCCTGTTTGACTCATTTAAAACAGTACTGAGGTGTCACCTCCTATAGGAGGACCTTATTAACAACTGTGCCTTCTATCAAAGCTTGGTCTTTCCTGTGATTTCCGTAGACTTTGCTCTGAGACCTCTTTTTTTGGTCTCACTTCCTCACCAGACTGGAGTTTCCTTTATGGGCTGTAGTTCTAGCACACTGTGAAGGATATGTCCTGTGTTTTTGAAATGAGTTATTTTATAAACAAAGGAGATAGACTTAAGATTTGATGGGAGAATTCTTGTTCCAGGCTAGAGACAGGTTGTTCCAAATGGCCTTTCCTTTGAAAGGCCTCTATGGGCAATGATCATGTATAGCTTGACCTCACTTGAAGTTCTAGCTCCAGTTCCTGATCACATGTTTACACTCTGTTATCCAGAGTCCATCATGGAAAAGAGAAACACTCTTAAGAGTTTCAGGCAGAGGGAATTCAGTCTAGGCTGATTACACAGGTGATAGAGGAGTTGAAAGGCTAAACAGGAAGCAGTAGAACAACCTAGAACTGGGCAAAACCAGGGGCTTTGATTCCATGGAACTTGGTGGAAGGATACTGGAAAACAGAGGAGTTACCAGAGACAGGAGCTGGGACCTCAGGTCAAAGCTGGAGCTCTGGTGGACCTGCAGGGTGGAAACTGAAGACACCAATGGAAGGAAACCACTCAAGAGAGGATGGAAAGAGGAAAAATGTGCTGGCTTCTCCCTTCCTTTTACTGCCTACTCTTTAGTGCCTGCCCTGATGCATCAACATCAACTTTTACTCCTTTCTGAACTGTGTCTCTATGTGTGTGTGTGTGTGTGTGCGTGCACACACACACACACCTCGTACCTACAAGAAACAGACTGAATGAGAAATGGGCAAATGACAACATGAGACTCATTAGAAGTTTGTGTAACTAATGAATCATCTGGCTCAGACTAGTTTACAAGGAATGTGAAAGCATGCCACAAAACTTTACAGCTAGTCTTTGAATACACTTACAAATCTTAGAAAACAGAATGGATCTCTGACTGAGTTATCAAGGCCCTTGGGATTTGTAGCTGAGATTCTGAGCAGCCTGGCTTACGTGGGCCATGATGGGATGTACTATGATCACGTGCCCCTATGAAAACATTTCCATGGGCAATTATCTTGGCTCCTGCTGTATTTTGGTCCTTCCTCAATAGTCTCTGGAGTATCGAACCAGGCCTTCCCTAACTGGGGTCTTAATTCCAGGCTTTCCTCTGTCCTCTTTTACCTGCAGTGATAGCTAAAAGCATCATGAAGTTCACTTTAAAACTGGTTATTTCCATGATCAAAAACTTCCAGTATTTTTCTCTTGCGTACAGGAGAAAGCCCAGTTTCCTAGATCTGACCTGGAAATGATTCAATTCCAGTCTTATCTACACTATTCTCCTTGCATAGACTCTACTCCCCTCAAACTAAGCTCTTCTCTATTTTATGCTTCCAGCTGCTCCAGCTTGTTTTAGCTGTTCTCTCTAACCAAAGGCCCAGTTTCCTTCTCTTTGATTTAAAATTCCACCTGTGCTCAAAGATTTGGTTCATAACACATTTTTGCATTCCTGCTGGAAGAAGCAATTCCCCACCCTGCCCCCACCTCTGAATTCCTGCAGAATTTTATCTGAACTATTGAAACTTGGCACTTTCTAGCTTGCCCTGAAATCACTGATGTGCACAACCTATCTTCCTGCTAAGGTGTGCGAGGGCAGAGACCACGGTATTCTTAGCTTTTTGGTTTCCATGGCATCCAGACTTCAGGATGCACTTTACAATAGTTTGTCGGATGAATGATCATACCTTTCAATGAGTAAATGAATGGACAACAGAGACAGATATGGATGAATTAAGGGGTGACTGAACAAGACTGGCAATTGCCCCAGGGTCCCAAAGAGCAGCTTATTACAGCCAGCCTGAGAGATGATGTAGCTTCATGGACAAGAAATTTGGGTGACTCTATAGACCGCCTAAACAGGAGGAACCCAGACTTTCTGGTTATGTTTCAGAAGGGCCACTATCCATTAGGGAGTCTGGGACACAGCCACAGATCTTGAGTCTACTGCAGCCAATCCCAGAATCCAGTTTTCCAGTCCCATCAGGACCCTTACATCAATGTAGTTGGCGTTGATATAGTCAGAGTGTGGGTCTCCATCCAGCACCAGCAGCCTCACTCGGGAATGGTCATCTGCAGAAAATGCAGAAAACAAAGGTGTTGAGAGGCCTTTGGAAGAGGCGCCCGCACCCTCCCACTGATTAATCTTGCACCGAGGCAATGTGCTGCCTTTGTGTACAAAACCTCAAGCAATCCAGCCTGGCACTGCCTGCATTTACCCTCTGTCACTGATACACAGGTTGAAACTCACAGAGGTCACTGTGCTTTAAGAAGGACCTGAAGATGCTTCTTTGTTTTTTTGTGTTTTTTTTTTTAACTTCCCCATATTCAGATCCTGGTTTTGATTTTCCCTATGTGGATGAACAGCCTGCTGCTCTAGCTCTTAGTGATTTCATCATTAAAATGAGGCAAAGCAAGAGAGAACCCTATTAAATATACCCTGACCATGAGAATCTGAATGAATAAGCTGTAGGTCCATGCTTAATTAAAAAAGGCAAGCCTTTCTATTTTCCACAGGTGCACAAATTGCTTTTCTTTGGCTTCTTTGAGTATTGTTGCAAACAGATTGTCAGCCACCTATGGCTATCATTTCCAGTGAAGCTGCCTAAATCATGACAAAGGAGGTTATCAATAACTAAAGATTATGTTATGGACAATAGCACTTGAAACAGAATCCAGGCATAAATGAGATGTGTAGGCTTTACTTGTTTGCACCAAATTGTGCCAAATAAAAGACACTAAAGAAAATCCCGCACAGCAGAGGGATCGAGCTGATCCTTTGCCATTAGTTAATGAGTTCTGGGACACCGAGGGGGGGAGGGGAAGAATGCTAGATTGGGTCTGGTTGGGAGGAAGTTCTCAGTTTACTTTTCTGGACACTGGGTCCATATCACTGTATGCCTCTGCACCCCTTGGCCAGTATATGCTCCTCAATACCAGGGGAGAGTTTCCCAGCAAATGGGTGTGAGAGCCCTGGGTCTCTCCAAAGTTGAGGGTGGGTTAGCTCAGGTCCATTGGATGTCTATACTTATCCATGATATCACATCAATGACAACCCACTAGCACCCCAGAGAAAAACACCTCATGTACTCTGGTCTCTCTTCTATCCTCTGCTGTCACATGAGGCCTTGGCAGGGACAGGGACTCCATAAGGACTAAAAGCACAAATGGATCACCTCATTTGGCTGTTAAGAAGTATCTGTCCTACATGAGGAAATCAAGGCTCAACTAGACTTACTGGACAAATGTTCAGGAGATGGTGAAGATTTGGGACAAGGGGTTCTCTTAACATTGAATTCAAATACTCCTGTGGGATATCAGAAAGCGGTTCAAATGTACAGAGCAGAAGGAACAGATTGGGAGGAGCAGCAGCTGGAAGCCAAGAGTTAGGAATCCAAGAGTGGAGGGAGAAGTGGCTTGGGACTAAGCCCCCACAGAGAGACACTGAACCCTCCAGGCCCAAGGGTCAGAGGCAGAAGGCAGAAAGGGGGAATCTCTTAACTGCTAAAAAAGGCACCTGAGACTGGGAGAGAGGGATGGCAAGGCTTAGTATCTCTCCTTACTTTCTCCTTTAGTATCTCTCCCTACAGTATATGACATTGGCCAACAATAGTCAGAAGGTAGATAACAAGACAGAATTGCAGTTTGTAAGGGTCAGTTCATCATGATGAAGTTTAGCAGGAAAATGAAAGGGAGAGTCCAAACAGGGAGCAACCAGAAAGACTGGACAGTAATTAACAAATGGATTCACTTGCTTAAACATTGTTCACTACAAGCTGGGTCGGTAGTACAGGAAATAGAATGTTTGCCTTGAATGCAGCTAATTCTTTTCAATCCCTGTAACTACGTAGGGTCCCCTGAGTACTGCCAGGAATCACTCCTGGGCAGAGAACTGGGAATAGGCCCTGAACACCAGAGTGAGCTCTACTCCACACCCCAAAGCATATATTGTTCACTGGTCTTTGCCAGGTGTCAGGTTCTATGCCCATCATGAAGATGCACCATACTATTTCTTATTGTCATGGGGAAGAGTTCCAAGGAAAGTGACAGGAGGCAAAAGAAGATTATGAAGGAAGATAAGTTAAACTTCAAAAAGTTCACACAGGACCAGAGACAGTCGTATGTTCTCTCACCTGTTCACTCATCACAACAGCTCTGCTAGTTACAATCACAAAATGATGAACTCGTATTTACAGATGAAGCAGTTGGGGTTCAGAGAGGGTAAGCAAGTTTCCCGTCTTATGCAGCCTGTAAATGGCAAGATTAGGACTCTGTTGGACCCTGTGCACCTCTTGGTGCACATGATGTGATGTCCAGCACCTTTCAGAAAGTATTATTGGAGACTGTGCAAATGCTTAGTCCCAGCTTTAACCATAGCAAGCAGGACTTCCCGGTGGCCCTATACACCCCATGGAAATTCAGCTCCCAACTCTGAGCTCTAACTGTTAAGTCTTGTTCCCTGTGTTTTCATTCATTGGTTTCACTCATGATTTATGGATTCAAAGATCTCCTTATTTGTTGAGTTATGCTTGCCTCTGGGGAGTTGGAGCATGGGGCACAGAGATTCTGGCTTAAAATGTTGAAGGGAATTTTTTTTCCAGTATAAAAAGAAATTTAAAATCCAGAAGTGAAAACAATTAAAAATGGAACAAGAAGAAACACACTTAAGTTTTAAAAATTCACTAACCACCAAATGATGGTGTTTGCAACATTCCCTTTTCATTCACTTATTTGGAACATATGTATTGAGCACCTATTATCCTGCCAAAGAGACTGAGAAAGTGTTACCGCAGGAGTCTGTCCATAGGGCAGGGGACAAAGGCAACCTCAGGATCTAGAAGTGGAGGACATAGGCATTGTGGAGTGATGCAAATGAGGAATGGAGTGGGAGACTTGATAAGCAGACAATGTGGTAGTGTTTTTCTACTAGAGATAGCAGAGATCTGTAAAAAGGAAGTTCACTGAGGCAGCTGCAAAGCCTCCTGATCTTGAGCACAGAGTGTGAGGGAAAGGGTAAGGGAGGAAGATTAGGTAGATACTTGGTTACAGAGAGTTCTTCATGCCCTGCAATGGGACCCAGACACAAGGAACTATGCTGACTTTGTAATAAAAATACACTTTATTTTCTGAGACAGGGAAGTGGTGTTTTAGTACAAAGTGACCAAGGTCTATTCCCACATGATATAATCTGTGGCTGGTAGTATACACTTTTAATATATGATTTGAGGTACAGTGGTAGGTAATGTCTGGTCCAACTCTGACCTCTATCTACTAACATGTCCACTGAGCTCTCCTAGCCTGAATCTTAGCAAAATGGAACCAGTATTGTAAGTTTCACAGATTGTTAATGGATTAAGTGAGAAAAGAGAACATGAAAAGTGTGGGGACAGCTCAAGAAAATAAAAAAAAGTCATAGGCTGGGAGAAAATATTTGAAAAAGATATGTCTGATAAACAACTCATATCCAAACTATACAAAGAGTTTTAAAAACTCAACAGTTAGAGGGGGTGGGAGGAATACTGGGATCTGTGGTGGTGGGAGATGGGCACTGGTGGAGGGATGGGTATTTGATCATTGTATAATTGAAACCCAAGCACAAAAAATTGTTAGTCTACAACTGTACCTCATGATGTCTCACTAATAAAAACTTAAGAAAAACCTCAACAATTAGAAAATAAATAGCAGAAAATGGGCCCAGAGCAATAGTACAGCAAGTAGGGCACTTGCCCTGCATGAGGACAACCCAAGTTCAGTCCCCATCATCCTATATGGCCCCCTGAACACCACCGGAAGTGATCCCTGAGCTCAGAGACAGTAGTAAGCCCTGAGCATCACAGGGTGTGGCCAAAACAAACAAACAAACGAAAGGCAAAAAATATAACAGACACCTCAATAAAGATGCCGATTCAAAGTAAGAATATGAAAGAACATTCAAGATACAAGGTCATTTTGAAATTGCAAATTAAGTCAATATTATATATCACTCACACCTACTAGAAAGGTCCAAATCCAGCATGTGAACAACACCAAATGCTGAGGGATAGGCATAGGGGGAGGAAGGGGAGCTATAGGAACTTTTATCTTGGTGTCAGTGGGAAAGCAAAATGATTTAACAAGTTTGGAAGATAACTGACTTTTTGTTTGGTTGGTTTTGGTTTGGGGGCCACACCTAGAAATTCTCAGGGGTTACTCTTGGTTCTGCACTCAGGAATCACTCCTGGTAGTACTCAGGAGACCATATGGGATGCCTGTGCAAGGCAAATGCCTTACTTGCTGGACTATCACTCCAGCCCCCAAAATTGAATGGCTTCTGACAAAACTAAGGATACTCTTACCATACAATCTAGCAAGGACATTCCTTAGTATTTGTTTAAACGACTTAAAAATATAAAGGCAGAACACCTGGGTATTACCCCTCCCCCTCCCCCGTCCCCAAATGTTTGTCCTGTGAAGGCAATTCTTCACAGGAATATTTATAGCATCTTTACTAGCTTTGTCAAAATATGGGAAGAAAACAAGACGCCCTTCAAGTGGCTGGATAAACAAGTTGTGGATGTTCATACAACAGACTATTATTCAGTGATAAAAAGAACTGAAGTTATCAAGCCATGAAAATTCATTACTAAGTGAAAAAGCCTGTCTGAGAAGGCTTCACACTATATGATTCTAAGTTGCACGGTGGGAGAGGCAAAACTGTGAAGACGATAAAAACATCAGGGATTGTCAAGGTCTTTGGGAAGAGAGGCAGATGAAGGTGGGGCACAGGAGTGTTTTCAGCAGTGAAACTAGTTTGCATGACCCTGTAATCATGTCATTATGCATTTTTCAAATCTTACAGGGCCGCACTGCACAAAGAACAGAATCTCCTGTAAACTGCTTTAGCTCAATAATGAACTGCTATCGGGTCATGAATGGCAATAACTGTGCCACATAGATCCGAGATGTTAGAGACAGTAAAGGGAATAGAATATGGAGATTAGAAGAGGTACTTGGAAACTGTATGTTCTGCCTAATTTTTCTGCAAACCTAAAACTATTCTTTATGAACAGGCGGGGACAGTCCCTGGTATACAG